CTGGACGACTGGTATGGGATGCATCAGCAGTGCGCATCCGCGACTTCTGCAACTGGTAGGATTCGAACTCAGGACCTCCGGTATCGCGTGTGGACACTTAATATCTGAACCAATGAACCGGTATCTGACGCTGTTAATGTCTAACTTCAATTAATCCAAAGTCCTAAGCAACCTCATCTACTGTCTTCGAGGAAAAAAGCTTCATACCCTAACAGGGTCGAACTCCATTGGTCACTTCTCACTAGAACTAAGAGAAATTTCCTCATTGAACTAGTCACTAGTGAGCACATGATAATCTACATGAAAGGGTTATATGGATTATTGAGTTACTTTATTGAAATCATGAATCTTGGATGCACACTGCTGATGAGTCCCATACCAAGACGAAACAGTCCAGTGTTTCCAAGTTTCTAATGGTGGTCTAGTATTGATCGATTCATGATTTTAAAAAATAGGTAACTCATTAATCTCTTCAGCCCCATAATTAAAAATAATTCCCATTTATAGTGAGTAGTTATTACTAATGACTTGAGTTGTTCGGACATAATCTATCTAGTCGATACTGAGTAGACCTTTATTCAAATCATAAGTAGCAGAACACAAACCTAAATCTATAACCTCTTATTTATCACATATAATCATTACCTATGGAAAAATATCTTATCTAATCATTGTGCGTTTAATAAACGACCCTAACTGAAAGGTGTCCGTATTACAAATAAAAGTGAAGATGATCTATGATCAAAAAGAAAATCTCCTCTCTTTTAAGTTATCAAATTCACAAACTACCATTGGGATCAGTCCACAATTGGATATCATAAACATCAATAATAATTTTTCTCAAATTGTAAATTGACACTAGGAATATTTGTTTATTTTAAAATAAATATCAAAAACAAAGCATTATACATTTCAAATTGACCTATTTCATTGAAATTAATTTTAAAACAACAAAAATAACTATAAAATGATTTAAAATAGGATGAACAGTAGTTCTCACACATGACTTTCAGGGTGAAATGTCATGAGATCTATCAATGTATATACTTGAATGTGTAAAACTGTTTTATAATTGTTTACAGATATCAATCTCCTATAATCACGGGATTTGTTGTCTAGTTCGTATCAACAATAGTAATAATAACAATGATAATTAAAGGCATGGTAGTGTCAGATAAATGAACTAATATTATACATTGAAGTCATCAGTCATTGTTAGACCATCATTAGAAACCTGTAAGCACTAGGACGGCCGTTCTGTCCTGGTATGGGATTCGTCAGAAGTGCCCATCCACTATTCAGGATTCGAACCTAGGACTTTTGGTATTGGGCGCGAACGTCTAACCTCTGGACCACTTAGCCGGCATTCGATGTCGTTAATATCTAACTCTGATCACCCTGTCAGATGTAGGTAGTAACTACCGAAGAAAAATGGGTGAAGTCGGGCAAAATCTCCGGACTGGTCAGGAAGAAAAGGCCGTCCAGTGCTTCCACGTTTCTAATAGTGGTCTAACGATGATTTATCAATCATTTCAAAGTGTAAGAAAGAACTAATATTAGGCTAAAACGACTATAGACAAAGTAATTTAAAGCTAATCCGATGATATGAATTAAACAGAAGTGTAATTTCTTGTATTATATAACAAACGGAAATACTGCGTTTTTGAACAATCTACAATAATTAGTTTTTGTCTTGTACAAGCTTTCATTTTTTTGTTTGTTTACTTAAATAAGCGGGAAAAATGAAACCAGCATTTTTCAATAGTCTTAAAACCTACCTGTTTAATTAAATGTGTATTTATATCTTGAACTGATTAACATTTAGAAATATAATATACCAGTGAATGCCAATCCATGCGAGCTGAAGATCTTGAATTTGATCCGTTGAATGAAGCTTCAAATATTGTAAATCTTTGATGAAAACACTTCACAGATTTTTAAAAATCTTTACCAATCTGACTTCAACATTGTCTAAAACTTTGATCGAAATTCGGGATGTCTGTTTGCCAACATTTGGAATGAATTCAAAAAAATCAAGAGAAACTTTTATAATTTTATTACGAGAATTGTTTTTATTGAAGTTTAAAAAAAATATAATGTTTACTAGCCTTCGCCACTTCAATTTGCTTTGCTTGTACGCCATTCATTCTCATGTCTATCCGCTTTAATGAACACATGAAATAAATCGACCGGCGAAACCGTAGTTAGCTTCTTACTAACGTCGTCACACAAACGGGGTTCACCTAAGTATGATATACAGAGATGGAAAGGAAGATTAATTTCATCGCATACTTGATTATTCATTCAAACTGATGTTAAATTGTGTGTCATTAAAGATTGTATAATCTATTTCAATTATTATGTCAACATTAGAAATAGAATTGAAATAAAAATTAGTATTAATTATTTGAAAGGAAATTTCTTTTCCATGTAAATTAATTATTTATTGAACTCTTGAAAATTTGTGTCGAATCAATTTTCGGTTGATCAATTAATTATATAAGTAATCTCATCTTCAACTAGAATTAAATCGATCAACTTACAATATTTTTATCACTAGTCTAAATGATTGAACAACGTATACACTATGTTATAATGTCAAATGATTGCAAATAAACGATAAGTAATCTTGTCCCGTGTTTCTTTTGAGTTGCCTTTCATCATCATCATCATCATCATCAAAAGCGTACTTCTAGTTGATCGGTAGAATCAGTGTTACTAAAGACTAAACAAAAAAATATTATTAGCTACTATTTAGTGCATATGAAAGGGTTCTAGAGGTTGTTGAGTTACCTTATTGAAATTAAGAGTCGATCAGTGCTGGACTACGATTAGAAACCTGGCAGTATCAGACGGCCATTTCGTTCTGATATGGGACTCATTAGCAGGGCGCATCCACGATTCATGATTTCAGTAAAGTAACTCAACAATCCCCACAACCCTTTCATTCAAATTATCATGTGCTCACTAGTGACCAGCTCAGTGAGGAAATTTCTCCCAGATCTGGTGAGAAGTCGTGACCAGTGGGTTTCAAACCTGTTCGAGGGGAAGCAGTGCTCACCGAAAACAGTGAATGAGGTTGCTTAGGACTTTGGATTGATTAAAGTTAAACATTAACAGCGTTAGATGCCGGACCAATTGTCTAGAAGTTAAGTATTGGTGCGCAAGACCAGAGGTCCTAGATTCTAATCCTGCAAGTTGCAGGAGTCGTGGACTCATTTCAGCAATGTCAGGATATATATTTTATTTCTACAAAATATCAGTCTTACAAATCAACTAGCTCAGTGTTTTAATGTCTTTAACTGTAATAGTTCTTCATCAGATTGTAAAGAAATTTCTTGTTGATCAGTTTCATGATTACTTTTCAACAAATTAATCACGTAGTGTTGCCTATATTCCGTCTATGATCAATAATCAATGATTCTTTACATGTGAAAAGGTTTCATAATTGAATAATGTCTAATTAAGAAATTGTTTTCTACATGATTAATATTCAGAGTACTAAATATTATAATAATAATCAGTTTAATATTCATCATCACATGAAACAATTTATTATATTGGTTATTATTGTACAATGAAATAAATAATTGAAAATTGAACATGTGATATTCTCCTAGATCTGTAACTTTTATGTGAAACAAATAAACAAGATTATTGATTTAAATTATCTAATTTTTTTTTAAAAAAGTAGTCTATTCATTCAGATTATGTTCAATGATGATATTACAGATTTATTTTAAAAACTATTCATTATTGAACTATGATAAACTGATCGAAAATGATTCAGCTTATTTATTGTATGATCTGAAAGCGCTAAGTTGAAGCTTATGTATAGGGCTGCGAGTATGCACTACATAACAGTCCTAATTGAAAATAAAGTGTGATCATTCTCTTTTTATTGTTAGAATCATTTTCTAATTCGTATATCAGCCTCTGACTTAAACCATTGCCTGATCTTTTTGATCAATTACTTTTCTAGTACACTCAGTAATTTAACTTGAAGACTTTTATTTTTGAAATATTAATATTCGTGGCAGAAGCGTTTAAAACCAAGAATTATTTAGAACACTGGCACTGGTCAGTCTTTTGATCTTTACACCGATTGATAGTGTTTTATCTAGTGCTTCGTGCCGATCGAATATTATGAGTTAAGATACAATTTGGCCATCGATCTTAATGATTTAATATTCCGTGTACAATATTTTGGGTGTTAGACGTTTGGAAGTGATCTTCATGAAACTCTTGTTCTTAGTTTTCATGCTAACTACCTCTCCCTGAAGAAAGCATACAGCTTCTTTCAATGGAACCAACTCTAACTACCTAGTTTAATAGTCTGAGATGCTACTACTGAACTATACGGCTAGTAAATGACCTCCTGAAGGACTGAGATATTTGAATCAGTGGATCATTGAGTAGAGATCATCAACATTACATTGATCCAGTCCTTCAATGGTGATGGAACTCTTTTTCTAAGCCTATTTCTTAAAACTTAAATATCTATTTACTAATACACACTATCTGTCCACCAACCCCCTCCCCCCTCGCGCAAATTAATAAAAGTTTTAACGATCATTCAAAACTACACAGTAGTTGACTTTAAAATCGAAAATAACAATAATAATTACTAATTACTAATTCGATTCAGTATTAAGCACTTTTTTACGTAAGTAAGTAAGTAAATAAGTAAGTACACAAAATCACAACAGGCAAGAATGCAAACCAATCAGAATGAAAGAACTTTTCTACTTACAACAGAAGGAAATATATTCTCTTTCAACTTGATCACTTATACTTATACTATACTTTCACAAACAAACATACTACCCGTTGTTTTAGTAACAACGTATGACAGAAACTAAAAATTAAAAAATTGCCTATTTAATAATAGTTTTGACAATTAGAAGAAGAAAAAATTACTTTAGTTTATAGCTTTATTCAGAATAGACTGTTAATCCATCAACAAAGTATTATTCTTGCTGTATGTTTCTGTGACTACTATGTTTCCGGCAGATTTCATAGACAATATTCAAAAATTCCAGTTGGATGTTTCAAATGCTTCACCGGAAGATTTTTCCGACAAGCTAAACTTATTCACATCATTACTATTTTTAATTTGTACCATTGTTATCACATTTAAACAATATGTATTTAATAGTATGTCATGTTATATACCAATTCATCCAACTGGTAAAGATTTTGAAAATTTCTTATCGGATTATTGTTGGGTTCATGGGACGATTCCATTAAGACCGAATGAACCAATGCCGAAATCACCGGAAGAATGGCATATTTATGAAAAACAACGTCGAATATGTAAGTTGTAGTTGTATATACAGATATATATATATATATATATATATATATATATATATATATATATATATATATGTAACATTGACTGTATTAACGCTCCATACCGAAGGTCCTGGGTTCTATTCCCTAGTTTGAAGGTGGTGTATGCTCACTGCTGATGAGTCGCATACTAGGACAAAACGGTCATCCAGTGCTTCCAGATTTCTAATGGTCGTCTAACAATGATCGATTCATAGTTTCAATAAATCTAGTATTTCTTAAGTGAATGTTATCGACCTTGATAGTGTTTGTAAAGTTTCTGTTGGAGATGTTAGATCCCCAAAACTCGCTTGTTAAATGCCTTATTTTGGATTTTACGTTTGCCAACATGGGTTTATCAATTGACCTTGAGATTTCATTTCCCACCAGGAAAATCCTTGGCTGTGACTGACTGCTGTGTATTTTAGTGTGCTATTTTCGTAACTGTCCCAAAGACGTTTCTATGATGTATAAATAAACGAGAGTTGTATGCTTGATTAGATTGTGATTGCTGGGTGTTTGTAGAATATACTTTCTACGCTTAAAAGTCTTCTATCTTCAGCTTGGGATACAAGGTAGCCTATCTGGACGCTGATTCATTGTCTCATTCGCGTTTATCGACTAAGGTGAACTCGTAATAGCTTCAAGCGTACCTAGTGACGAACCCTACAGTTTCAATGTCAAGATAATTAAGAAGTATGAGATTTTTATGTAATTTTTCAGATTGACAATAAGTATCAATAAACTTTGACTAATTAATCAGTAAATTACCTCATACATTATTAGGGTCTAAATGAACTTTTCAATCGTATGACTTGTATTCGTAGGACAAATTATTTTAGGGATCTGTTATTTTATCTATTCAGACAATCTCATAAGATATTGAAAATATCCTCTAACAGAATGTTAAATAACTGTGAATTTCCTGTGAATTACTGAATGCTTCAAATAGATCATGACAAAAAAACTATGCTAATATACATATATATTCTTTACAGCTCTAAGTTTTCAACATTCCAGACAGATTGTGTTAGTTAATAAATACATTGTTAACAATTCTTGCTCATTCAATTTTAAAAAAATCTCTCAAACATGGTTTTAGAGATTTCCATCACTATTCTACACATTAGCGAAGTTATGTTAAAAAACAAACACTTGATCGATCTGGCGTTTTTATCTGTGAACTTTTGATAATATTTTACATTAGTGTTGGTTTTAATCAATGGTTTTAGTAATATCATCATGTAATCTTGTTATTACAACCAATCACTGTGTCATTAACTATTCGGCTTTAATTGATATTAGCATTCATAATATTCAATCGTAAATTGTAATCAAATTATGGATTTCAAATGTACGTTTCAAATTTATCGAGAATAAGATTAAATTGTCAATTTATTTATGACTAAATTTATGATTGGATATTTTTTTTATGTTTAAATAAAATTTGTTTACCTAATCTAATGTATTCTAAACAAAATATGTGGTATTTGATGTTAATTCAAATAAGTTTAGTTGATTTCCAATATTCATTGTAATTAGTCTGATATTATTCTGGGGAAAAAAAACAATTTATAAATTAAATCCTTTTCGTATTCGATTATATGGTTCAAGTTGATCTAGATACTTACTTACTTACTCCTGTTACCTCCAAATGAGAATAGGCCGCCCACTAGTTTTCTCCAACCAACTCTGTCCTGGGCTTCCCTTTCTAGTTCTGTCCGATGTTTGTTCATTCTTCTCATGTCTGTCTCCAATTCTCTGCGTAATGTGCTCCTTGGCCTTCCTCTTTTCCTTTTGCCTTGAGGGTTCCAGGTGAGGGCTTGTCTCGTGACACAGTTAGGTGCTTTAGGCAGTGTGTGTCCTGTCCACTTCCACCGATTCTTCCTGATTTCCTCGTCCACTGGAATCTGGTTTGTTCTCTCCCACAGTACGTTGTTGCTGATCGTGTCTGGCCAACAAATCCGAAGTATTTTGCGTAGACAACTGTTCATAAACACTTGTATCTTCTGGATAATGGCTTTGGTAGTTATCCAAGTTTCCGCTCCATACAATAGAACCGTCTTGACATTTGTATTGAAAATCCTGATTTTGATTTTGGTTGAAAGTTGTTTGGAGTTCCAGATATTTTTCAACTGTAGAAATGCAGTCCTTGCTTTGCCGATCCGCGCCCTCACATCTGCATCGGATCCACCTTGATTGTCGACGATGCTGCCAAGATATGTGAAGGTGTTGACGTCCTCCAAGCCATCTCCATCAAGAGTGATTTGATTGGTGCATGTTGTGTTACATCGGAGAATTTCGCTTTTTCCTTTATGTATGTTGAGACCTGCTGCTGCAAAGGCTGCTGTTACACTGGTCGTCTTCTCTTGCATTTGTCGAGCCAGGTCATCTGCGAAGTTCAGATCAGTTAATCTCAATAGAATATTTACTACCAGTAAAGTGTATCTAGTATTGTTTTTATTACGGAGGTATGGAGGAGATTAACGGATTTCACTGAAATTATAAATCAGTTAAAAGGTTAAAACTTAACCTTTGATCAGTGTGCTTGAGATAAAGTATGAATAATTAAAACTGTTTAAATTATTCATTAGCTTTTCTAACATTTCTTAAACATAAGTACAAACAATTAATAACCCATGAAACGAATATGATTCTAAAATGATTAATTAACAAGGGTTCGAATTATCCCTTTGTTGATCAGCCTTAGTTAGCCTGTGTGCATCATGATTGGATTGCTTTGATATACAGCCTCTTTATCACAAATCATTTAGAATGGACAGATTGTAGCAAGCTACTCAGTCAAGATAGCGCATTCTTAAAAGTTCACACTTACTGACTTTCAAATAAAATACTTATTGAATTTCATTAATAATTATATAATTCACACTAATCCGTAAGGAAAGTTGTCTTAAAACTGAGAAATTCGGACTACTTCTTTTCATCTCAAGTGTTGCATTTTATAAGAGATAATGTTTCGAATTTTTTGAGTGATAACAATATTAGGTCACTGAATAAAACTTAATTAACATACTTTTTTTCTGATTTCTAATCTATTTTCCGTTGTATATAAATTTTATGTTCAATGTCCAATTATCAGTTTAAGTATAAATATAAAAATTGTACCTTATTAATAAACAAATGAATATATATAATGCAATCATCTAATACATTAACGGCTGACACAGTAATTTAACTTCTATTCTTCTTTACCTCTGTCTGAATCACTTCTGGCGCCAAAAATGAGTTAATGATTATAACAAAAGTCTGTTTTGTATCAATATGTTATGAGGATAATTTTTCATTGCGGGGTTATTGTGAAGATTGTTAAGTTTTATTTGTAACTATGAGTCGATCAATGTTAGACCACCATCAGAAACCTGGAAGCACTGGACGGCCGTTTCGTCCTGGTATGGGATTGCTCATCAGCAGTGCGCATCCACGACTCCTGCACCCCGCAGGAGTGCAGCTTTATCCTTCTATCTATTCATTGTCATCATCCTTTAGAAGTAATTTAGGTTCCTGTCCTACTTGAGATCAAAATGAACAAAAGATTTTAAAACAACAAATTGAGTTCGATAATATACACTTTTTCAATGATCAATATCAAGAATGTAACTTTTCTTGCGCAGTTTAAATAAGCATTTATGTCAATTTGTAACAATAAACTTTTGAAGTACATTTTTAGCCAGTGTTAACTATCATAACTCATATTCATTACATGTTTACAATAGTTCAGATGCTGTTAAAAACCACCAAGTAGCCAATAGTTGTTCTATTCCTATAGAAGACTCTCCAGATATGTGAATATTTGACTTTGACTAGGACTGAAGCTAAGATTTTCAGAAAGCTTTATCATCAGATCATTGAGTTACAATCTAATTGTTCATATTTCCAATTTGAATCAACTTACAACATAACTTAACTATTAGTCACTGTTATATTTTAGTGCTGTGTTACTCCTAATCTGGTTTAACTCCAATGAGTTTCAACTAAACTGTCTAATGAATAGTGGCTTATCACGAAACCTAGAGATTCTAGACCCCATCGTTGACGGAATTGTAAGTGCTCACTACTAAGAAATCTGATACTAGAGCAAATACAACAGTACAGTAGTTCAGTACTTACCAGTTTCCAATAGTACCAAATTAATTTAATCTCAACTGATCGTATTTCATCATTTAGCCTTATTTTATTATGTAACATGTAACAAGTTCGTTGGGTTGTTTTAAGATTTTGAGAAATAAATATTATAGTTTATTCATTGTTCAACATTTTGAAATCTAAAATGTTTTTCCGTAGATTTTTTTTAGACTGATTAGAACTAATGGAAAATTCTTCATTATGAATAGGTTTCGGTTAAATGATTTCTTTGTTTTGAATTATAATTTTAGAAAATTAGAAATGAATAACTGTAATGTGTCAAAATGATAATCAACCCGTCATTGAAATACCATTGAACAATATCAATAGTTATGGAATGATGTTTAACTTGTTAATTTTTAGACATTAAGAACTAAGCTGAAAGCTTACTTACTTACTTACTTACTTACTTACTTACTTACTTACTTACTTACTTACTTACTTACTTACTTACTTACTTACTTACTTACTTACTTACTTACTTACTTACTTACTTACTTACTTACTTACTTACTTACTTACTTACTTACTTACTTACTTACTTACTTACTTACTTACTTACTTACTTACTTACTTACTTACTTACTTACTTACTTACTTACTTACTTACTTACTTACTTACTTACTTACTTACTTACTTACTTACTTACTTACTTACTTACTTACTTACTTACTTACTTACTTACTTACTTACTTACTTACTTACTTACTTACTTACTTACTTACTTACTTACTTACTTACTTACTTACGACTGTTACCTCCAAATGAGCATAAGCCGCCCACTAGTTTTCTCCAACCAACTCTGTCCTCGGCTTCCCTTTCTAGTTCTTTCCAGTTTTTGTTCATTCTTCTCAGGTCTTTTTCTATTTCTCGGTGTAATGTGTTCCTTGGTCTTCCTCTTTTGCTTTGAGCTTGAGGGTTTCATGTGAGGACTTCTCTTGTGACGCAATTAAGCCAAAAGCTGGATGCTTATAAATTAGTTTGAGCCGCGGACAAGTATCATTAATATGCACTTGCTCAGTCAGACATACATACTTATAAGTGTGTTTAACGCAGAATTCGTCAACCTATAATTGATTTACTGAATGGCAAATAATATAGGAAATTCATAAGTCACTTCTATTTACATATTCCTCATTACAATATAGAATCCTCAGAAAAATACTTTGAACTAAAAAAAATATTTGAGTTTTTTGGGCAAGGTTTTCTCGTGAATATTCACAAATAAAGTACACATAAAAAATTTTTAAAAGGTTATTTGCCGCCACTCCTATTCATCGGTTGTTGAATAAGATTGGTCTTCCTACTATAACACATCCTCTTATCGTCTGATATACTTGATTCATGAATTCTACTGTGATTATATCTTTTTTCTCTAAACGGCAGTTTGTAAATATTTTCTGAATGTGTAGAAACACACTTAGGGCCAGGTTTAAGGTGTACATCCATACCCTGAATAAGTAGTCGTTCAAACTAGTATCAAGAGACATGTGAAATTAATATGTTATGTAACACAATGAAATAGTCAAGTCGAAACAAGAAGATAATTAAGCCTAAATGACGTTAATCCCTTGTATTTCATAACAGTAACAATCAAGTTTAATCTGTATGTATTTAACATTTGTGAATAGAACCCTTTTTAGATTAAGATATTACTTGGCTATTGACAAAAATCAAAAATAATTTACTAATGTAATAACTACAGCCATGCTTCTTCCTGAATTTCTCAATAATTAGATAACTTGTAAAGTATTGCGAGTAGCAAGAGTCATGGATACGTACAGCTGATGAGTCCCGTATCAAGACGAAACAGCCGTCCAGTGCTTCCAGGTTTCTAAAGGTGGTCTCATAATGATCGATTCATGATTTCAAAAAAAAGTAACTCAACAATCTCCCCAACCCTATCATGCATATAACATAATAATAGTATCTAAGTACCGGCGCTTATCATAAGTTACTAGTTAACTGAAATAAACGTAAAACTGACAAATGTATAGCTATAAATGCACGTTTTTTTAAATAACTTAGAACCTCTAGTAAAGCTATCATCCTGATTAGCAGCCTCCAGTCCCAAACGTTCCGTGACATAAGAACACGGCTACTATGTCGAAATGGACAGAAATCAGACCTGTAGTGCCTCTAACGACAACTAAGACAATACATCTCCTCACTCAAACTTTCTC